AAAACCAAAAGAAAAATTAAATGTCTTTTAATAACTTTAGCAATTAATTCTAACAATTTAATAGCTAATTCTTATGTAAATTAATTATAACAAGTTACAATTAACTATTTTGTGTATATTTATGTAATTCTAATGTAAATTACAATATAATTTTTATGTCAATTTACGTATAAAAATAGATATTTTATTTATCAACTCCAATTATATCCTATACAAAAGAAATGTAAATTTCTTGCCTTTGCCTTTGACATAGGTAATTGCAATTTTAAAATTAAAAAAATCACAAAAGAATAGCTTTATTAAAAAGAAGCACAACATGAACCAAAACAAAAAAATGATGTGAGATAATTAATTAAAGAATAATTTTAGGACTTTTAGGGCTGTTAAATCAAGGGGCAATTACAAAAATATCACTTTTTGTGTGCACATTTGCAATAATGCCACTTAGGGGTGTTCATTTACAAAAATACCACTAATTATAGATTTATAAAGCCTATATCTTAAAATTCTAAATCCTAAAAAATGTTTTGACACCTAAAACCCTATAAACACTCAAAACTAAACCCTAATAGAACATTATTAACGCAAACATAAATAATATAAAGAAAAAACTAATTTTGAAAAAGTGGCATTTTAGTAAAGATTTCAAAAGTGTGGCATTTTTGTAAAGTGGCATTTTTTGAAATTTCTCTTAAATCAAACAAGTCTAATTGGAGAAATTTAAAATTTAAACGTTATTTAAATCCTTGTATAGCTTTTATAGCCAATTTACCAGTCATCCTCTAATGCAATTGAAACAATTTGTGTTGGACAAAGTAACGTTCCTAACCAAGACTCTCGATAGAAAACTTTACTCTATCACAAATTGTWAACAAAAATAGAGTAAGACAAAAATACAATCAAACATCAATTATTCTCGCTTTATGATTCAAGGTTTTAATGAAATAAACAAAAAGATGCATTCTAACATCTCTATTGAGATGATGTAGATATCTCGGTAGAAGTAAAGCATATTACAACTTATATGATCAATAGATTTTTACAGACGTATTTGATGCAAAAAAGACGACCAACCATTTTTTTTAGAAAATCGTAGTGAATATGATTCATATATAAAAGTTAAAGATTTATGCCAAAGAAGATGTTTTTCATATTCTGTAAATTTTATTAATGAACGATCTATTTCTTGTTATGTATAATTGTTATGTATAACAATGTATTTGTCCAAAAACTTGATACAAATGCTAAGACTTCTACATTACATAATTATTTATTATAAACACCAAATT